TCGTGAGTTCGATTCTCACCTGGAGCTCGAAAAATTTTTCTGAGCTTTCTGGTGTTTGATTCTCCTTCTTCTTTAATTATAAATTACAATCAAACCAGGTCAAGCGTACCACCATAGATTCTAATGATGAAATCATTATATTCAACTTATTAACCTAGAGTGAGGTCATTATGGGGAAATCCCCGTAATGACCGAACGGACGAAGTTAATAAGTGGCCATTTAGCGCTCTAAATATATAAAACCGCAAGTAATTGAGCCTGCGATCAATTAAAACCAATAACTCGTCAGTGCATAGCTTAAAAAAACACAAATCACCTCAATGGGTTGCAAACTTGAGCCCGCGATACAGACATGTCACACTAGTCAGCGGATACCTTTTTTCACAGCTCTCAATTGAACATAACATAGATTTTCACTATCGAGTTAAACACTGCAGATTGTATATGCTTTGGACACCTAGCGAATAATGCCGGCCATTACAAGAAACTTTTGCCAGCTTAGCAGCCAATCAGAACACTCGTACTTTTGTAGCCATATAATAGTTGACATTTTGAAATCTTGTGGTGATTCTTATCATTCTTACTAGCATCCGATGAGCAGTAAAATCAGCAGATGGTTAAAATTATTTTGTTTTCTTCTTCAGTTCGAGATAGAATTTTATTCAAAGCCATCGAAGACGATTTCTCTTAATCTGATAGAATGCTGAGAATCTGTAGGGCGAAATTCACTGCCAATTGACATGCAAGAATGTGGTCAATGTTTGACTAAGTTTGACTACAAAATATGCTTACCTTGTGGACAAGCAACGCACTCACGGGCGCTTTTACCAGGCGCCTTAGTGTATGGCACAAAAGTTCCATTTGGACATCTGAGGCAGCTGTCATTGACAAACGCTATGGTATCCGAATAGAAGCCTCCTATAAGAAAGTGTAATTAGAGTGAAAGTGTCCTTGAAATAAATTTAAATTTGTAGTCCCAAAATATGACTAAAATGGACCTACAGAGCCGACAAAAAGTAGTTAGTTTGGGGTAAAATTGCCAGGTTACAAAATCCTTGGTTTTTGGTCCGACGTTCCTTTTTAAATTCCATGACCTACAAATAACGTAGAATTCCCTTAATATGATTGGTTTCTGTGGACGGACTTTACTATCAGGGGCGGATCCAGGATTTTTTTTAGGAGGGGGTGCACTCGTCTCTTGCTCTTCTTCAACGCCAATAAGCAACGTAGTTTTTTTTTTTTTGGCAGAATACCAGTTGTATTAGAAAACCGCAGGTCATCTCAGGGGAGGGTGCGCACCCCCTGCACCTTCCCCCTAGGTCCGCCCCTGACTATTGCATAACATAAGAAAAAAAAGCTAGCATCTGGTCGTATTAACAGTCCAATAAATGTGGCTGGCTGGATACTGGGAAAGTTAGTACCAGTTTTTGCGTTTTTATGAACCGGGACAAAAGAGAGTTTGAGCATCACGTATACGGCAAACGGTAAACGGCAGATTCAAGTTGAGAATTTCTCAAAATAGAAAATGAGCAGATAAAAACAGCTCAAAACAATTCTTATGGATAAAAAATTCCATGAAACTACTAATTTGTGTTGAAATAATGAAAAGTAAACGACAATTAAAGCTGAAGTACTGGACCCAACGTTGTTCGCCTTGTACACCAATGACCTACCAAGTGCTGTTACCTCTGGCTCTGTCTTTATGTAAGCGGATGACACCACCTTTTATTGCATAGGGGACACTGTTGATAACACTGTCACTTCGTAAATAAAGCTTTATCGGAACCGAATAGTTGGTGCTTAGAGAACTCTTTAACTCCTCACTCAGTTAAGTGCTAACCTATGTTATTAATGAGAAAACCGCACATTGGGCCTCTAAATTCTGTGTCTGTTGGAGAGGATCGGATCGAGTGGGTGAAACACACTCGTCTTTTGGGCATAACACTATTGATGACAGGCTTTCCTGGTCACACTAGCTTACAGATGTAAAAAAGAATTTTGTTCACAAACTGAACCTCCTGAAAAGGAGATCGTTTTTGGGCAGAAAAGCACTATTGGACTTGTACTCCAAGATAATATTACCATCATTTTTGTATGGACTTGGTTGTTTTGGGCGTCTGCCCTAATGCGGACCTTGCACATTCACTGGAAGTACTTGATTGTAGGGCTGCCAGAATAATATACAACTTGCCCCGCGATGTGCCTACTGATGAAATATACAGAATTTTGAATTGGAATACTTTAATACTTATATTATAAAATTATTAATTAGCTAAACTACTCCATAGCGTGTTTATCGGTTTAGCACCTGTGGCTCTTTCATACTTGACAAATAAATCTTGCACTGCGTACAATTTCAGAAGTAGTAATAACATAATTGTCCAGCGTTTTAACTCGCAGTTTCTTAAAAACTCTGTTAGCTATAGAGGCGCTATTCTTTGGAATGCGGTTCTCGACTCATCTTACAGGCCAGTTTACTGTTTTTTATCGCAAAGTGAAGAAGGACTCTTATTTTAAGGAACTTGATTTTAGCGCACAGTCGGTCCAGTCGCTGCCTAGGCACTACCAAGAGTTTAAATGTTTTTAACTATTTTATGTTTTAAATGCTGTAGTCAAATTACTTAGCGGTAACTAATTTAAATTCATTTTAACATCGCATCTTTTTTTAAATCTTACTGTATATTTTTAGAGTTTCTGTTTTAGTTGTATATTGTAAGTAATGTTATCCCTATTTTTATTANGACTTGTACTCCAAGATAATATTACCATCATTTTTGTATGGACTTGGTTGTTTTGGGCGTCTGCCCTAATGCGGACCTTGCACATTCACTGGAAGTACTTGATTGTAGGGCTGCCAGAATAATATACAACTTGCCCCGCGATGTGCCTACTGATGAAATATACAGAATTTTGAATTGGAATACTTTAATACTTATATTATAAAATTATTAATTAGCTAAACTACTCCATAGCGTGTTTATCGGTTTAGCACCTGTGGCTCTTTCATACTTGACAAATAAATCTTGCACTGCGTACAATTTCAGAAGTAGTAATAACATAATTGTCCAGCGTTTTAACTCGCAGTTTCTTAAAAACTCTGTTAGCTATAGAGGCGCTATTCTTTGGAATGCGGTTCTCGACTCATCTTACAGGCCAGTTTACTGTTTTTTATCGCAAAGTGAAGAAGGACTCTCATTTTAAGGAACTTGATTTTAGCGCACAGTCGGTCCAGTCGCTGCCTAGGCACTACCAAGAGTTTAAATGTTTTTAACTATTTTATGTTTTAAATGCTGTAGTCAAATTACTTAGCGGTAACTAATTTAAATTCATTTTAACATCGCATCTTTTTTTAAATCTTACTGTATATTTTTAGAGTTTCTGTTTTAGTTGTATATTGTAAGTAATGTTATCCCTATTTTTATTATAGTTCTATATTCATTTGTTATCACTTTTACACGACCCCACAAGCTTTGACCTTTAAATCCTTTCGTGTTTAAATAAAGGATATATTGTTGTTGGGAAACTTGATCACCTGATTCAAATTCGCGTTTGCCGTTAGATGTAAACGTGCTGCTTAACCTCTCTATTGTCGAAGTCATTAAAACGCCAGAAAGAAAGAGCAAGGCCAATTGATATCCAGCCATCTTGTTGACATTCTTCTTGGGCAATTCAAAGACAAGTAGACCGTTTAACTGATAAATTCAGCTCACAATGTGTCACAACAAATTTTTACAAAGAGAAAACTATTAAATAAATAGTTTTCTAGTAGCAATACAATATAAATAAAATAATGTAACTCGGGGACGATTTTGAAAATGTTGAAAAATCTTACAGCAATTGTTTCATCACTTTTAAAATTATTAGCGCTTAATTCGCCCTCGAATTCTACCACTGCTGCTTGTGATTTGAATTAATCATCACCCATAAGACAAGAAAAAGCTCCAATAATAATCATGTAACACAATATATATTTTACCTGCAGGACATTCGACGCATTCTAGACGACTTACGTTTACAAAAGTACCAAGTGGACATGGTCGTAAATTGTACTCATTTAGAGTTGCATCCGCAAAACCAGCTCGCTTAAATGAATCGAGTAGTACTGTGAGGTTGCCCGAATATTTCGAGAGGTTAAGGGAAGCAGAGTTATCTTGACCCAAGCCGCTAAATTGAAAGATATAAATGTTTCAGTAAAACGTTTATAAAATGTAATAAATTGACATTAAGGTCGTTCAAAAGATCGGTACATCTTATTTATCGAACGTGTTCTGTATTATTTAATGGGTTTTAGAAACTGCACTTTTAATTAGTTAATTATACATCTAGCCGGCTTTTTGATAACGTTATCGCCAAACGGACCTTTTGTGTCGAACAATTTTTTCGGCCAAAAACTATTTCCCAAGTAGCTATTATATAAACTAAGACTGAAACCATTGCTGCTGCTGCTTCTGCTTCTTCTTCTTCTTCTTCTTCTTCTTCTTCTTCTTCTTCTTCTTCTTCTTCTTCTTCTTCTTCTTCTTCTTCTTCTCCTCGCTCTTTCTTTTTCTACTAGCCTTTTCCTTCGTTACTATGATTTTGGAGCTTCTCGGGCTTAAGAAACCTGCCTTTTGACGCTTTTTCACTCAAATGACTGCAAATTTCGTTAGGTTGGTTTTCAAAAAATCGGCTAGACATATTCTCATAATTATATGAAATAAAGAAAGAAGATAGATCTAGATTGAGTTCACAAGTTTAAAGCCGAGGTTGCTAAACTTAGCCGGCAATCTGTGGAATTTTCAAGTTTTTACAAGTATAATATCTACGTAATATCCAAGGAAATAGCAGTCATCAAAATCTGCAAAATTGCTAAAGAGGGAAGCAAATGAGCTAACGAGCTTTTAAATGAAGCTATTCTGCATAATATATTGGGCTCAAATGCTCAAAGATAACTATTATTGTCGAACCATCATGAGCGACCTGCTCTCGTAAGCGAAAGTCCCCCACTCTGTGAAACGTTGCATGGATCTCTGTGGGTCAATACGGCCGCACATTCGCATCAGGTGTTAAGACGTGCATTTTCCAAAGAGTTCCAGACATTCACTTTCTTTAAGATTTCTATAGCATCGTACATTCAGTAAGCAAGCCATCGTCTCGAAATCCCTCTATGAATTTTCTTAAAGCTGTTACTCTTTTCGTGATTTTCATTGTCCTACTAAGTTAATAATGGAACTGAGTGAAGTGCAGTTTGGTCTTGAATCATACACGTGATCTGAATAACAAGAACTTGAATCAAATGGGAGAACACTCATCGTACCTTAGAAGTTGCCTGCAAAGATTACCTTCCAAAAGGTAGATGTGTCCACCCCTCTTTTCGGAAGCCACCACTTTTGATTCGATTCTCGTTAGTGACCACTATAGCTTGGCTTTTTGGGTGGTCGCTTATGAGAGGTTCGACTTCTATTGCAACGCTCTTTCAACATCAAGACGGGTGATATTTATAAAAGTTTGATCAGAGAATGATACGTTCTTAAAAAAAGCGGCAGAAAAGGGACAAAAATCCGGATTCACCTATACCTCACAGTGCGAGTTGAGAAAATGGGTTCCGCAAAATTTAACTTCATCTCTTCAGTATAGTTTACATCGGGTTGATGCATGAAGCTAAAGTAACTCAGTAAATGAAGGTCAAAGACAATGCAACCGCATATTAGAATATTATTAAGGCATTAAAGAAAGTTACAAACAGATAAATAGTGCAGCGCTCTCGTTGAAGTGAATCCGAAACTTTCATGGTACCAATTTTACCATCATTCATGGTTCTACAAAAGAAAACGAAAAATGGATAGTTAAGTCGTTCTTATTGATATCAAAGCCCGATTCGCAACGAGCGAAGCAACTGATAGCAAGGACACTAATAATTGAGTTTTATATAGAATTCTTCATGAAAAGTGTGCTCGTACGGTGTTGCACAATTGCAAGCTGTTAACGTATCCTAAATAGAACGAGTGAGCGCAGTGAACGAGTATGATTCCTTATAAAATGACAGCGAGTGCATATGTTTATCATTTATATATTTTGTGGGGCTATTGCTAAGGAAGATGCAGAACTCCCTCTGTTATGTATTTGGCCAATTTCTACAACAGTTCTGATAATATACCAATCGTACTTACATGCCAGAAGTTAAGTTATGAAAATCATGAAAAGACAAGACTCGGAGGCTCACTGCTTTTAACTGAGTGCGAATCATGAAGCTGCAAAGAACGAAAAGTTAACTGAAAAGTTTTTATTACCTTTTGCGTTTGTTTGTATTACCACTACCATTTGTTCCCATAATTATTACTAAATGTTAAGAGGCAGTCCCGCTAACAGCGGTCCGGTCGATTTTGCGTCAGAAAAAAGTTTCCCTTTAAACTTTGTACACTAAAAGGGTTTGGTATATAAGTAATAAAAATGATTTTCTTTTTTGCAAATAATATATTTCCGCTTTCCTACAGGCGCGATCACGTCCGGGCCAATTCGTCTCCTC